TCAATTAGTAGTTGATTAATTGAAAAACATTAAAATCTATAACAATTCTCCAAGGTAAACAAGTTTCTAACATCAAAGTCTTAAAATTTATATTGAAACTTCACAATAAAAGGGTGCATATATGTAGCTGATCATGATTATAAAAGTACAAGAATTTATGTTTGAATTATGAGATGTCACCCAAACTCTAGATGTAAGAAGAAAAAGAGGATAAATCTTGATTCCTTGAATCTCTTCAATTTTTCTTGATTAATTTTGCATCTTCTTCTTTACTACCAAAAATCCAAGAAATAATCTTCAAAATATGAATTGGAATGAAGAATTCTTGATTTCTTGCATCTTGTTCTCTCTCTAATGCTTGGTAGTTCGTAATTATGCCTTCAAAGTAGATTTAAAACTTAGAAGTCCTTCAATTTCTAATTTCATCCAATTTATTGACATCTTCTTCAATCATCATTCATTGGCTCGACTCAACTTTTGGAAATTTGCAATTTAGTCCTCGAACTTTACAATTCTTCATTTTTATCCTTCTTTGGTCGATTTTCACTTATTTTCGTCAATAGCCATCCAAATTTGAGGTTATTTCATTAAATGGTAATTCTGTCAAATTAACTCTCAAATATCCATTCTTGGCGGTCCGAATAGGTGTAGAAATGCACCTATCAAATACTCACATAGTTTAATATTTATTCGTCCAGAGCAAAATTAGCAACTCAACACTCAAACAATATTACAAATATAATAGTTAAATAGCTTGTTATTTTGTTCCACGTTTTGAAATCCCTGGAACAATTCATAAACGGCTTTCAAGGTATGCTATCGGAATCAATTCATTGTCTTATCCAATTCTAAATCAATGTGTGCGTAGTCAATTCAATCACTATAAACTCTAAGTTGGTTATTTTCAGATCCTCAATGGTTAAATATTTTGTTTCTTCGACCATAAAATGAACAATCCCAACTTATTCTTTATCATCACTCTCAAGGTGATTATTCTAAATGTTAAATTCTCAATACTCATTTCTTTCTATCTCAAGCTCGTTTTGATTTAACAAATGAGAGTTGCTTAACCAATTTGTGATGATTCTTCCTATAATTGAATGTCTCAATCTCCAAGTTTCATGTAGGCTAATGAACCTAATTAGAAATCCAAGCCCTCAAGTTAAATGTCCAATACTTGGCAAAGAATTGTAGCTCTTTTATGTTTGCCACTACTCGTGTGCTCAAGAAGAAAAAAATGAGTATAACTTTTCTTGCTGTTTTTCTACTTGAATCTTTTTTCAGTCTCTTTTCGTTTGATATTTCTATTTTTCAACTCATTTGTAGGTAAAAATTTTGCCTGATCATTGATAGAATCAACGACAGGTCACTTCTTCCTATTGTTTCTTCTTTCTGCTCTAGGTTAGGTAGCACTACTCAACACTAGAAATTTGTTAAAGTTATCGATGTAGTTCACTTCTTCCTATACTTTTACCTCATTCTTTCTGGACTAATGCAATGCCTATATTGGAATGAATAATTAGGATTGGACTTCTCATTAATGATTCCTACCTAATTTCTGCTAGGTAGCCGAAAGTACTATACACAATTATTTTGAAGTATGGAATTAACACTAAGTAAGAGTGAATTGTTTCAAAAATCACTGAACTTATACCATCGTCACATACTGCTCATCGAACTTCATTCTACTTCAGAGTACTCACTCAACTTTGCCATTTACTTCTCCATCCGCCACTGTCAAAAAATTCGTTTGTTAGGCGCTGACATAGCGGACGGAATTTTTAGGTGGCGTCGGACGGCCGTTAAAAAATTACAAATAAGCAAAATCATTGTTTCATCACTCA